GTCATCCAGAATACCTAAGTGTTTGTTTTCTGTAACATGAAAGCAACATAGGAAATTATGCAGACCATTTGGAAAGAATGTGTTCCTTCTGCAGAATGGGCCCTTTCCTTTCCAGATCTAACTTTTAATTTTAGGCCCTTGTTGATGTTTTGAAACGCCCTCAGTATTAGGAGCACAATAGCCACCAAGACTTATTTTTAGAAAGAACACCTCCACCCTATATTCCAAGACTCTTTTCACTCTGCTATACCAAGAAGTCTTATCTGTTACATTTAATCTGTTCATGGGCTACAATAAACACCTGATTCACAGCCCTCTGGCAAGTACTGGTCTGGAGATGATCACATGGAAAAGTTGAATGATTCATGAATAACTCTCTGAGATACATGGGCTCCAGCATAAATGCAGTCCAGCCTTAGTCAATTTCTGTGGACTGAACTGTGTACCCCCAAAATTTATATGTTGAAGTCCTAATTCCCAGTGTGACTATTTGCTGTATTTGGAGATATGGCTTTTAGGAAGTACTTAAGGTTAAATGAAGTCATAAGGGTAGGGTCTTAATCCTATAGGATTGGTGGATTTATAAGAAGAGGGAGGGAAGGGGGGAGAGAAAGAGAGAGAGAGATCTCTATACATGACCAAGGAAAGGCCATGTGAGAACACAATGAGAAGGTGGCTATCTGTAAGCCATGAAGAGAGCCCTCAACAGAAATCAAATCAGACAGCACCTTGATCTTGGACTTTCCAGCCTCCAGAACTGTGAAAAAATAAATTTTTGTTACCTATGCTACTCAGTCTATGGTAGTTTGCTGTGGCAGCCTAAACAGTCTAATACACCAACTAAGATGAATAGCAACACTGCTGGGTAAGAAAGTTTTGCTCAGCATCATCTCCAAAGATAGTATTGAACATCTAAGTAGAATTGTATGTGTGTGTTTGTACACACGCATGTGCGTGTACATCGTGTGGCGTCTGTGTAGAAAAGAGATTATATTTTGCTCTGAATTATGCTCCTAAATTTGTAAACATGTTCCCTGAAAGTAAGCTTTCAGTGTTTTCCACATATTTATTCTAGTTGGTGGAAAGAATAGGGCAGTTTCATGAACAGAGCTGGGGAATATGTACTAGCCTAATAGCAGGTGTTGTTCACAGCTCTTTCACAAATAATCTCTATGAACTTTGAACAGTTTGGGTTAAAAATAAGGAATACTATGAATTACTCTTGTATAGGATGTTGACAACAAAGATAATCATTTGTTTAAAAAAGATAGCAATTGGGAAATTGGAAAGGGAATTCTCACTTCCTTGGCCTTTAGTTTTTTTAAAAAAATAGGCATATATATTTTACATTTACTAGGAACTAATCCCTTTAGCTGCTTTACCTTGAGTAAACCTCATAACAATCTGAGGAGGCAGATATTTTGCTGCTTCTACCTGTTTCTAATCACATGACCTTGGGTAAGTTGCTTGAACTCTATGTGACTCAGGTTCCATACCTATAAAATGGGCACATTAATATGGTTTTTGAGAAGAGTAAATGAGAAGATATATGTAAAGTCCTAGATCAGTGTCAGGTACAGAGTAGAAGCTCAATCAAGGAGAGAGATGTTAGCATTATCATTACTAATATTTTTATTATAATTATTATTTTATAGATCTGAAAGCTAAGTCTCAGAGTACCGAAGGATCTTGCTTAAGGTCACACAACTAGTGGCAGATCCAGAATTCAACTCTAGATCCATCTGATACCAAAGTCTGTGGTTTTAAATCACCCCACCATCTTATCCTGTCTCCCAGCCATTTAGACACCGGCACCATGCTCTTACAAACACAGAACAAAAAACACTCCTAATTCAAGAGAAGAGTCCTAGCTTATTAGGAAAGAGCTGGACCATTTGCCCTTTCTTTTTTGGGGGTGAGCAGCTTGGATCACTGCCTTAGGCAGCAGTGGCTAAGCCATCCAAACTTTTCTTTGTCTCACTTAGAACCTCCTGTCTCCTCACTCCACCTCCTCAATGTTGATAAATCAAAGAAATGTCAACAAAATGAAAAGATTAAATAAACATTTTCAATAAGGATCATATGAGAGGGGATTTTTCTTTTTCATCAAATATTTGATAACAATATCTTGAGAGGCTTTTTGATGTTACTTTCTCATACTTTGGACTGAGTGAAAGTGTATGACTCATGGAAGTTACCCAGGGAGGAAAAGCAAATGAGTCACCTTGCCCATTTGGGTCTTCCGGCAGCAATGCTCCCTAAGACCAATATCCTCAGAGAGCTGGCTTGTCCTGTCCCACCTGCTGTAGCTGCTGGCTGGGAAAGTAGTTTCTTCAGGAGACATGGGGACTCCCAGAAAAGGAATCAGGGAATGTGAGAAACATGAGAGCTTAAAGGAGTTGCCCTGTAATTCTTCCAAAAAACATTTTCTGCTATCAGTCTAGAGGTTTCTTGTCTGCATTTCATCACTTTCACTTGTACTCCTTTTGTAGGCTAATCACTCCTTAAGTGCAGACACACACTTCAAAGAGTTGCCATCCGTTGTACTCTCCTCCCCAAGCAAGCAAGGTACAAGTGTTTGAGTTTGTGTGTCTTTCAACAGATAAATCTCTGTTCCCTTTATTATTTTTATTGCTCTATTGGAATCTGTCCAGCATGAATCTTTCTGGTACCAAAGTGCCCCTGATGAAGCCCACACTTCTGGACTCAGTCTCTGGGAGTTGGAGGGAGGAGAACTGCTGTGTCCTTCAGCCCACATTGCTGCAGGCCTTTTGAAATCTCCTCTCAGTCAGACAGTTCATCACATTTAAAACCCAAGCTTGCTGTCCATTTCCTTTCAATGAATCTCTCTCTCACCCTGCCATTTCTACATGTTCATTCTTTGTTTTTTTCAGTGTAGATTTTGGTGCCTGGAGGCCTTAAGTTTGAGTTCCTACATCCTCAATTATATATCATAGGGACTTTGGGCAAATTGATCAATCCAGCTGAGTCTCAGTTTCTCCATCTTGACAAGGAGATAATAATTCCCATTTCCTAGCATTGGGTACAGACTTTGAGCTGGGTAAGTCAGTCAGGAGCACTCTGATGCTCTTTGGCCGGCCACATCCCCCAGTGACTTTCCTCCCCCAGGGCCAATCCCCCTGCCCCCTAACCAAAGTGATTTTGTAAAAATTTTTCACTCGTTTTTTTCTCACAAGAGATCTCTCTGTATTTTTTCTCCATCTTCACCAGGGTTGTGATTCTGTTGATAGACAATTCTGAAGCATCTGCAAATTTCATTAGCAGTTTACTCCCTTCATCCAAATCCATAATAAAAATTAAACATAAAATTAATTCTTCTGTTGGCCTGTTTTACAAAGGTACTTAAAACTCTCCTCAGAATTTATGTAACTTGTAAATATAGTTACATGCCACTTTCAGTCAACAACAGACTGCATGTACAATGGTGGTCCCAAAAGATTATAATAATGTATTTTTACTGTATGTTTTCTATATTTAAATGTCCAGATACTTCCCATTGTGTTACAGCTGCCTACAATTTTCAGTATGTGCTGTACTGGTTTATAGCCTAGCAGCAATCGGCTATACCATCTAGTTTGTATAAGTACTCTCTGATGTTCCCACAATGATGAAATTGCCTAAGACACATTTTTCACTATGTATACCCATCATTGACACATGAGTGTAAATCCAAACATGTGAACTGAAAAGTAGTTGAAAAGCTGCCATTGTGAACAAAAGTGATTTTACCATAAACATTAAAATGCCCTCAGGTTATTTTTAGAAGTAACACTTTAAGCTTTGTCCAGTTTTTTAAAAAAAGCAAACAAAAGAGATAAGGCTCTCAAAATAATGTACTTTCTTTTTCTAAGTGTTAATTGCTCTTAGGTGTGTTTATATTTTTTTTTTTTTTTTTTTTTGAGACAAGAGTCTCACTCTGTTGTCCAGGCTAGAGTGCTGTGGTGTTAGCCTAGCTCAAACTCCTGGGCTCAAGCCATCCTTCTGCCTTAGCCTCCTGAGTAGCTGGGACTATAGGTATGCACCACCATGCCTGGCTCATTTTTTCTATATACTTTTAGTTGTCTAGCTAATTTCTTTCTATTTTTAGTAGAAACGAGGTCTCACTCTTGCTCAGGCCGGTCTCAAACTCATGACCTCAAGCAATCCTCCTGCCTCAGCCTCCCAGAGTGCTAGGATTATAGGCATGAGCCACTGTACCCAGACTATATTAATTAACACCTTTCTAAGGTGTTAAGAGGTAGGTTTTTTGCATATGGTTTGTTCAGCTATAAGTTTAATCATCTATTTCCTTCCTTTTAGAATAACATATAAACTTCTAACACTAAACTGTTAGATATTTATAGGCAAGGTTCTCCAATGGAACAAAGCAGTGAAATCTGTGATTTAAAATACACCCAACCACTCACCCTTTAATATAAATTGGATTTTCCAAATTTCAACTGTGAAACAATTTCAAGTCCAGCTAAAAGAATCATAAGGGATCTATCTTGAATAAAACTGGAGAATATGTCCTAACCTACTATCTATGAGCGGGTGTTGCTCATAGATCTTTCATAGATAATCTATTTGATTTTTGGGTTCTATCTTTCATTTAAGGTGATTTTTTAATAGCCATGCCAAATCTACTTGACCCCACCCCCCCAAATAGCCAATGGTCAACAACAACGAAGTAGAATATATCTCTGTTACCTGTTCTGCTATCAACCTAAGGACCATTCTGTTTGCTTGAGACCTTTGTCAATAAAAAGGATCTTAAAATTAAAAGCCCGGCAAATGTTATCAATCCCAGGAAGAAAAAGAAAAACAAAGTTTCCACATTCATCAGTGCTTCTGATAGATTATTATTCCAATTTGTAATATGAATTATGACTAAGCAACTAGGCTAAAAACTAAATATCTCAATCATAATTGGACATTGGCCATTCCTTCCACAGAAAAAAAAGTTTCAGAGTTGGCAAATAGTTTTTATAGATCACTACAATCAAAAATAAAACTTCAGACACAAATCAATCTATTGCAGTCAATTGTTGTTATTAACATATTAAAGACAAGATATAAAATATAAAAAAGGAATAAATCATCGTAGACCAGAGAATGTAAGTGTTAAGTGCCTTCAGGGGCCAGGCAGATCAATGAATGAAGCAGCCCAGAGGGTGTATAGGCCACGGGAAAGCTTCATCTCCACCCTCTGAAGGTATGCTGAAAATGAATTTACAATAAACAGATCAATAGGAGAAAGGGCATAAAGATTTATTTAACATGCATAGCACAGGGAAATTGTAGAATTATTACTCAGTAACCCAATTAGGACCAGATACTAATATACCCTTCTTCATAGGGGATGGAGAGATGGGGGTGTAGCAATTCTGAGTGGTAGTAAATGATTTTGGGGGGAAGAATGAATGGACCTGGGAGACATAAATTAATTTGTAAATGATTCTCTTTGGAATTTAAATGAGGCCAAAGGGCAGACATCATCTTGTGAAAACGTTTGTCCAGGTGTGGTTACATTCCTCAGTCGTCTTTTCTGTATTTTAGGAAGGAGATGAAAGGCACTTGTTTTCTCTTTGAAGAGTCCAGGCTTTAGGTAGATAAGGAAATATCAGAGTAAAGCCTCATCCTATGCTTTGGAGACACAAAGGGTTGAGTGACAGAGAAGGAGGGAGGATGATTAGAGAGACCTTAAGGCTGCTTCTTTAGTTCAGCATATCAAAGTACCATATTTTGACATATCATTTTCTGAGCCCCAATAAGGGTGAGCTAGAGACTATATACCTAATGCTTAAGAGGGCAGCTGCTACTTGATTTTAGCCATTTAATGCCAAATGGAAATGTAGTCCCAGAAGATATATTAGATTTTCTGATTTTTCAGGAATACAAAAACCATTTTTTCTTTCTCTTTTTTTTTAATATGAAATTTTCCCATATTCAGTCTTTTCAACTAATCTGACTTTTTAAAGCATTCAGTGCAGGCCAAGAGGAAACACATCTGGGAGCAACAGTTCAGGCCTGTCATTACCCAGTAATATGTGACCGTTTAATTTGAACATTATATGATGCTAAATACTCCTCAAACCTGTTTCCTCTTTTGAGCACCACAGCTACATTATGATCTTTCCAGTTGAAGAATCATGGTAGGTGCAATGGACACCACTGCCAGGCTTGATCCTCCACTCCCTCCCTACCCTCTCCCCTCTGCCAGCCAGAAGGAGAGGACCCAGGAGGACTCCAGGGTATTAGAAGATGACAGAACCTCAAGATGTAAGAAACCTGAATGACTGCATAGAGGACAGTCACCTTTCTTACCTCTCCCACGAGCAGAGGACTGCACGTGGACGAGGGATGGAGAGAAAGAAATAAACATATTTTAAAGCCCCCAGATTTGGGAGTTATTTGTTAACAACTGTTAGCTTGATCAATAGTAGTTGTAAACTTCTCCTTCTTATGTCTCTAATAATGTGTTTGTAGCCTTTTGATTTTGAAGCAGTGAAACTTCAAAAATAAAATATTGTATCCACTTTGTTTTTTGAGATTACAATTGGGTATATGTTTCCATTTACAAACTGCTTTCATTAAGTAAGTTGACTGCCTAGGAAGGCAAGCTTCCACTTTGACTAGTCAAAAAAGAAGGAAGAGCGAAAGGAAAGAAGGAAAGAAAGGAACGAAGAGAGGAAAGGAAAGGGAAGAACAGAGAGAAGAATAGGAAGAAGGAAAGGAGAGGAAGGAGAAAGGATAAGGATAAGGTAAAGGAAAGGAGAGGAAAGGAGAGGAAAGGAGAGGAAAGGAGGAAAGGAGGAAAGGAAGAAAAAAGAAAATAAGCCTTCCCTGGTAGAAAGCACTCTAACAGCAAAGACAGGGTTAAAGAGATGCCTACATTCCACAGCCATACCCTCAGGCCCTTCCACATCGGGCTATCTTTCATATTTATGGTTCATCTAAAATCCCCTCACTTCTTGAATAGCCTGAATGGCATGTGCTGAGTAGAAATTATAGTACTTCCTTCCTCTCCCTCCTACACTTTAGTTTTTCTGTCTCCACCTTTAAAACTTTTAGATGTCTAAAAGTCCTGTTTTTAACATTCACTCCTGATAGAAATACTATTGCATTAAAATATTTTAACTATTCCTATTTAAAATCATTTCCTCTTTTGTAAACTTTAATTTCTAAATCAGTAAGGCATGCGTGAATAGCAAATAGGGAAAACACTGCAGAATGCAATTTGTAACCTCTGTGGTTCATTCTCAAACTGGAGAATTCCATTCTCAACAGTGAATAAGTTCATTGGGATATCGTAAAAGTTTTTTTAAAAAAACATAGTAAAACAAACTTTGTAATAATGATAGACATTTTTCAAATGAATTCATATACTGGTCGTTATATATATATCTTAAAAATGCTTGCAGGATTAGAAAATAAAGTTTGACCACTGATATCGATTTGTGGGGTTACCCTGGGCACCAGATGGGCTGCTAAGACAGCTTCAAGGAGCAGTAACAGCCTTATTATCATGGTCACTGTAAGTCAGACCCCAGGTCGTATGTCACATACAGCTGTGTGGTCCACAGTGCAGAAAAATGCAGCACTTGCAGAAAGTTCAGAGAATTACAAATTCAATTAAAGGGAATGATCATCAGATCTACTTAACCAGATAGATAACCAGAAAGAAAACCTGTAAAGTACCTAAGCCACTGGTTCCAGGTAGATGAAGAGCTTTGCTTTCTCTCTTTGGATAGGAAAAAACACAACAACAACAAAATTGAGTCAGTTTCCACTATTTGGAGACTGACTTAGTGAGCCAGAGAGTACAGAGACCATTCCTGCAGTACTCCAGTCCATCTCTGAAAAGGATATCTCTAGTGCTCTGACTATACTACTCTCTTCTCATCACACTGCCTACCTTCTAATTCAGATTGTTCTCTGTTTCTTCTAGGGATATGCTCCTCTCCCTGAAAAATTGACTATTATCAAAAGTGACCTACATCCTCACATATTCAGTGTTAACTCAAAGGTGCTCAGAACTGATAACCTAAGCCCAGAAAGAATCAATGATAATCAAAAATGTTATAAATATTTATTGACTCCTAATTATCTTTTGTTTATCATCCTAATGGATATTCAGCATGAACTCACAAGGTAGGGTTTGCAAAGTAAGCACTTTAATTAACCTTATTTTACTGATGAGGAAACTAAGGCAAGCAAAGATTAAGTAACTTGCCTAATGTTGTAGAGCTAGCACAGGTGGAGGCTAGGACTTGACCCTAGGGAGACTGATTTCAGAATCATTTCATCTTAGCTACTGATACAATAGCTAAGTGACTACTTAGCTACTGACAAAGCTAGATAATTATTGGGAGTGGAATGCATCAACCACTATTGTGCTTTAAGTCATTTATGCACTAGGCTTATCCTTTGAACTAAGGGAAGACTCCAGGGGAGATCTAGGAGGCTGAATTATGAAAAAGTCTGGTTTTTAAGGCATTCGGTACCAGCCCTTGGACTGGACGAAATATCAGAAGTGTCCAGGAAGATCTACATCAGTTTCTAATTACTGGGAAATTACATGAGATGACTCATATCAGAGGAAAAGCATTGGTCAAACAGAAATTAAGCAGCTTATAAATAATTTTGGTAATATCAGATCAAAAAGCTGATCTTTATAAGTCAGACAATTGTGGGGTTTATATTTTCCTTGATTATTCTGATTTTGGTTTTCCATAGCTTTTAGAAGAGGTGTTTCACCAATAGAAAATAAGGAATTTCATCAATTAACTGGCTTGTTTTGAGGCCAGGGGACTTACCTGGGTAAAAGATCCTGGGTAATACAGGAGGTACAAAGAACAAGGAAAAGAAGGGGATTAGGGGTTTGCCCACACTTGAGCCCCAGAGAGAAAGGAGAAGCAGTGGGGCCATAAATGACTGTAGCAGAGGAGGTCAAAAGTGGAAGAACCCCAAGGAGAGGGAGACACTCACGTCAGGGGCTCCTGATCCACACATCATCACACGAAAGGATTTGCCCCTGGGGTTCCCATCTGTACCAACCCTGGAGGACACTGAGTTTTGAGAAGGCAAGCTGTTCCCTTTCACCTTCACCTGCGTGTAGCCTTTCATCAGAACTGAATTATGTCACAGGAGCTGTGGAATAAAGATCTTTGCCTTGTACAAACTCAACAAGGAAACAGGTCTTCCAAGCAGGGACGTTCTCAAAGGTTAGGAACATGAAGAAGGAAACTCAAAGTTTAGGAAAAAACACTAATTGGGTGACAGGACCCTAAACAACCCAAGTTAACTATACAAATAGGTGGTGTTAGTTCTCTAAGGTTGTTCTTTTTCAAGACTACCTTCTATTCTAGGTCCTTTGCATTTCCATACAAATTTAGAACCAGCTTTTCAGTTTCTATATACAAAAAAAAATCAGGTGGATTTTGATTGAGATTATGTTATGGTTCTGGAGTCAGCAAACTTTTTCATTTTGAGGTTCAGATTGCAAATATTTTAGGTATTAGGGGCACAAGCAGCCACATAGACAACATGTAAATTAATGAGCATGGCTGTGTTCCAATAAAATTTTATTTACAAAAGCAGGCAGTGGGCTTTTTTGTCCATGAACCATAGCTTTTTGACTCCTGCTATAGATTAATTGGCATCCTCACAATATTTGATCTTCTAATCCATAAATGTAATATAGCTCTCTATTGATTTAGGTCTTTTTTATTTTGACTCAGCAATGTTTTGTTGTTTGCAGAATGTAAGTATTTTACATTTTTGTTAAATATATGCATATTTTTATGTTATTGTAAATGGATTAAAATTGACTTTACATCTGTGAAGTTTTTTTCTGGGAAGTCTATTTCAGGGAATATGGGAATTATAATTTATTCCCCATTGTCAAGAATACAACTAATATTCTGTTACTATATGAAGTTAAAAAATAGAGCTAGAATAAAATTTAAAAATCAATCTGGACAATCTACCTTTAAAATCACATTGATTTTTCCCTCTTCAATTTAGTGCCTCCAAATAAATACTTTTTAAAAAAGTAACTCTGAGGAACTGAAAATATAGAGTTAAAATTACAAAGAATCAGCTCTCCATAAGTCACATTTAGGGAGGGCAAGAACTGCTATATATTTTATTTTGAATGGCTTACTTTAAAAATTAAAACCAGATTTACTATCATAATTATATTTTGCTTAGGACACTAAAAGATGAGTTTATAGAACACATGCTTCTGGGTAGCCATGAAATTAAGTCTGGGATTAAAATCTTGCCACTAAAAGTTCTCCAAGTAAAAAGGCCATAAACAATGAAACATACCTAGTATTGAGTCTTCATGCACGACATAGTGATGAAGAGCATGGGTTTCAGTAGTGGCTCTGCTGCTTCCACTCTCTGAGACCTTGAGCAAGTCATTTTGTCTCAAGTCCTAGCTCTGTCATGTGAAAAATGAAAATAGTATTATTACCTACTTCATAAATTTGTGGTGACTATTGAATGAGATGTTTATAAAGTTCTTTGTAAATGTTCAATAAGAGAGACTATTAGAACATATTTCTATTATAATGATGAAATTGGTGATGATGATGATGATGTCTGCAAAAGCTATGTATGTGACAAGTATGTTCTGACTTCCTTCACCAAAGACCTTAATATAAGCAAAAAGAAAAAAATCTGATACATATCTTCACCTTGCAGTAGTCAGGTGGAGGGGGTGAGATAGATAGAAATGAGAGAGGTTGGTGGCGTAGAAGCAGAAAAACAATAATTCTTCCTCACTAGACCTCAACCTGAGAAAACAAGGCCTAGAAAAGAATAATAAAGTCCAGTACCTAGGTTCTATTCCATTACAATAGGAAGAAACAGAATCTCTCTTAAGCGTCTCTGCTTCTGGTCTTTCAGATCCCAAGTACACTATTCAATGCTTTGTGTCAAGGCGCCAAAATGAAGACTCTCTAAGATTTTTCCTAAAAAATACAGCATAGTGAGTTTCCCAGGAGTTAGGATATTCCAGAGAAGTGGTTCACTTTCAGGTAAGACCAATAATAAGCCAATTGTTAATATCCAGTGTCCAACAAAGACAAGAGGTTAAGTCTGAAAGGGTTAAGGGAAGGCGATGCATTTTCGTCTTCATTCACTTCACAGGAAAAGCAGTGAACAAGATCATGTTTTATGTAGATAAATTTAGTCCCTTTTAAGATGAAAAATGGCCTGCCATACAATATAAATAATCTTTTGTATAACTACTTTTTAAAATACATCCATTTATCTTTTGTCATATTTTATTACTGCTACATTTTATTATAAACATTATGAACAGAATCACAAAGGAAAGGAGTCAAGAAAGTAGCACTTACTTGTGAGAGGCAGTGATGAAATGCTGATAAAAACTGTGTGTGTGTGCAAATTTTCATATCTTTCTTTGCCTTTTTGTATTCAGGGTTAATAGATTTTCTTATGTTGAATATCTATTGAGATACTTATTGCATCTCCAGGACTTTCAGAGTTCTTTCCCCTCTAAATCAGTTAGTGTGACAAGCCCAGCACCTGACACATTTATTTAAATTTTCTTTAATTATGTTGACTTGAGCATCTCTCTAGGAACCTATTAAAAATAGTCTTTTGGCATCCAGTCATTCTATCTCATACATACTGAGGTTCAAGGCAACAAAAATCTTGACAATGGCTACAAAATACTAGCCCAGCCCACCTCTCACCTAACTTCCAGAGAACCTCAAAAACAGTGATGGCAATCTCTGAGCCCCTTACACCCTGCAGGATTCAAAGATGGCACCTCTGAACCTGCCACACCCACATGGTCTATGAGTAGCTCCAACTTCTGCTACTTTCTGTGAGCCCAGTACTATTTCTTCTGACACATAGGCTGCCCCAAACCTTCCAGAATTCCCCTATTCTCCTCCAGAAACTTGGGACTTTCCCCAGAGAATCCTGAGAGTTAGCTGCTAATCTACTCTCTATCCCTACCACCCACCATTGGCAATTATTTACTGAATGAATGAGTGCTATGTTGTAGGCATTGTGCTAACCACCAAGAACATCATAAGCCATATTCTCCACTCTCAAGGATATCACAGAATAGTGGGGAGCACACATGAAATCAACAATTATAACAGTGTGATAAGATTTATCATGTAGGAGTATACATCTAAATATGATTGGGAAGGAGAAGGTTAAAGGAATGGTTCTCAGAGCAGGTGACATTTAAACGACTATGTATTGAAATATTTTATAGGAATTAGCAGGATAGAAGAAGGAAGGAGGACATTACAGGCAGAGAGATCAGCATGTGTGAGAGCGTGGAGGTGTCCAACAGTGGGGTCAGTTTCAGTAGCTCCTTTTGAATGCAGAGAGATGTAAGGAGTGGAGGGAGATGAGGATGATGTGTAACTGCTGTGCTGATTGCGTGACTTACGGGAGGTAATCAGAGGCAACTGTATTTTTCCCTACAAATGGCTCTTTTGAATTTCTTTAGTGGTGTAATTTTCTCCTGCTCACCAAGGATAGAATGTCTGAAATTGTGATTTCATTGCTTGCTCGTTCCTAGGCAAAGAACAATCTTAAAGCTCCTCTAAGTTCTCAGTCATAGCACCTGTTAGGAAATTAGAATGTCTAGTCCAAGCTACTTCCAAAGGCTTTAAAATTAATTGAAAGGTGGGACTTCTTTCCACTCACCATGCTACGGTCTGGTTAGTAGCCGCCTGCCTCTGGGAACATGGGTGTGACTGACTTCAGTTCTCTCTGCAGTCCTCCTTCTGCCCCATTTACTAGTTACTGCTTCTGGCTCAGCCAGGATAGAAAGAGATATGGAAGAGAGAAGAAGCAAAAGGATAGGGCTTTTTCCCCCAAAATGTTAAGGGGGTACAAGTGTTTTTCTTATATAGATGAATTTTATAATGCTGAAGTCAGAGCTTTTAGTGTGCCTATCACCAGAATAGTGTTCATCATACCCAATAGGTAAGTTTTTATCCCTCCCCTTCCCCATTCTTGGTTTCCAATGTCCTTAAAACCACTTTGCGTCTATGTGTACCTATCATTTAGCTCCCATTTATTAGTAACAACATGTGATGTTTGTTTTTGAATTCCTGAGATACTTCACTTGGGGTAATGGTCTCCAATTCCATCCAAGTTGCTTTAAAAAGACAGTATTTCATTCCTTTGTATGGCTGAGTAGTACTCCATGGTATATATATAGACACCACATTTTCTTTATCCATTCACCAATTGATGGGCACTTAGGTTGTTTCCATATCTTTGCAATTGTGAATTGTGCTGTGATAAACATTCAAGTGCAGGTGTCTTTTTATAAAATGACTTTTTTTTTCCTTTGAGTAGATACTCATAGTGGGATTGCTGGTCAAATGATACATATACTATAATTTCTTTAAGGAGTCTCCATACTGTTTTTGATAGAGGTTGCACTAATTTGTAGTCCCATCAACAGTGTATAACCATGCCTTTTTCACTGCATCCATACCAGCATCTATTGTTTTTTGACTTTTTAATAATGACCATTCTGACAGGGGTAAGGTGGTATCTCATTGTGGTTTTAATTTGCATTTCCCTGATGATTAGTGATGTTGAGCAAGTTTTCATAAGTTTGTTGGCCATTTGTATCTCTTCTTTTGAAAAATCTCTGTTCATGTCTCTTTCTTTGAGTTCTGGTTTTTGGGGGGTTTTTTTTGTTTGTTTTTTTTTTTTTTTTTTTTTTTTTTGGAGACAGCCTCACCCTGTCACCCTGGATAGAGTACAGCAGTGAGTCATGATAGCTCACTGCAATCTCAAACTCCTGAGCTACGGTAATCCTTCTGCCACAGGCACACAACACCAGAGTTGGCTAATTTTTCTATTTTTTGTAGAGACAGGGTCTTGCTCTTGCTCAGACTGGACTCGAACTCCTGACCTGAAGTGATCTTCTCTCCTCAGCCTCCCACTGTGCTAGGATTTAAGTTCTTTATAAATTGTGGATATTAGCCCTTTGTCAGATGTATAATTTGTGAATATTTTCTTCCATTCTCTAGGTTGTCTATTTACTCTGTTGATTATATCCTTTGTTATGCAGAAGCTTTTTAATTTAATAAGTCCCATTTATTTATTTTTGTTATTGCCATATGGCCTTTGGGATCTTAGTCATAAATTCTTTGCTAGGCCAGTGTCTAGAAAATAATACATTTTCTTCTAGAATTCTTATGGTTTTCCTGCCTTAGATTTAAGTCTTTAATCCATCTTGAATTATTTTCATATGTGATTGAGAGATAGGGACCCTGTTTCATTCTCCTGTTGTGGCTATCTAATTTTCCCAGCACCATTTATTGAATAGAGTATACTTTCTCTATTATATGTTTTGTCTGCTTTGTAGAAAATCAGTTGATCATAGCTATATGGTTTTATTTCTGGATTCTCCATTCTATTCCATTGGACTATGTCTCTACTTTTTCATCAATACAATGCTGTTTGGGTTACTGTATTCTTGTAGTATAATTTGAAGTCAGGTAATATGATACTTCCAGATTTGTTCTTTTTGCTTAAGATTTCTTTGGCTATTCAGGCTCTCTTTTGGTTTCTTATGAAGCTTAGGATTCTTTTTTCTAGATCTGTGAAATATGACATTGGTATTTTGATGACAATTGCATTGAGTCTATAAAGCACTTTAGACAGTATGGACATTTTAATGATGTTAATTCTTCCAAGCCATGAGTGTGGGATATTTTTCCATTTGTTTGTGTCATCTACAATTTCTTTCTTCAGTGTTTTGTAGTTCTTCTTGTAGAGATCTTTCACCTCCTTGGTTAAGTTTATTCCTAGGTATTTTATTTTCTTTGCAGCTATCGCAAATGATATAGAGCTCTTGATTTGACTCTCAGGTTGACTGTTATTAGCATATAGAAATGCTACTGATTTATATACATTGATTTTATAACCTGAGACTTTGCTGAATTCAATTATCAATTTTAGGAGTGTTTTGATAGAGTCTTTAGAGTTTTCTAGATGCAAGATCATGTCATCAGCCTGCTGCTCTGGTGCAGTGTTACTGCACAGCCTCCAAGCAGCTCCTTGATCAGTTTGGAGGCCTGCAGTGGTGGTGGGGCCGCCTTGAGGCTCAGGTTGCAGTGTCCATGGGGAGAGTGTGTGGAAATGGCACAAATGACTTTTACATAGAAAAACATGAAGTTATGTTCCTACTTCATAAAACTTCAAACAGGTTCTAAATAGGTTGAAGATCAAATGTAAAGAATAGAACTTTAAGATAATTGTACATATATATATATATATATATATATATATATATATATATGTAAAAAAGAGTCTTTGTGACTTGGAAGTAGAAAACAATTTCTTATACAAGACAAAAAAGTATGATTTATAAAGAACAGGTTTAGTAAATCTTTAAAATTTGATAAATTTTTAAAATGTAGAGCTTCTCTCCCTCAAAATATATCATTGTTAAAAGGCGGTCCACAGACTTGTAGAAAATATTTAAACCACAGGTTCAAATAGGTAATAGACTGAGAATTAGTATTCAGAAATGTAAAGAACTGCTGAAGTAATAAGAAAATATAAACAACTCAATAAACATGGGTGGAGATTAAGAACAGGAAACTCACTAAGGTGGAAATCCAAGTGGCAAAGACTCATACAAAAATATTCTCAACCTCACAAGTAATCAGGGAAATGCAAATAAAATAACAAAGAAGTACTATTTCACACCCTTTGGATTGGCAAAGATTTTAAAGTCCAACAGTATCAACAATTGGCAAGGATGTGGGAAATGGAAAACAACATCTACTGCTTTGGTAAGTACAAATTAGCACAGTTTCTAAATATCTAAGTAAAGTGGAAAATGTACATGCCCTGTGACTCCTAAATTTAAATTCTAGAAAAATGATTATATGATATAATAGGGATTTGTATTAGTTCCTGTGGCTATCACAACAAATTATCAGAAATTTGTTGGTTTAAAATAACAAAAATTTAATTTATTCTTTCCCAGTTCTGGAGGCCAGAATTCTTAAATCAAGGTGTAGGCAGGGTTGTGTTCCCTCCAGACGCTCCAGGGAAGGATCCATTCCTTGCCTCTTCCACCTTCTGGTGACTATTGGCATTCCTTGGCTTGTAGCTCCATCTGTCTCTGCTTGGTCTTCACTTTGTCTTCTCCTCTGTATGTATACTATTAAATCTCCCCCTGCCTCTCTCTTATAAGGAAACGTGTAATTGTATTTAGAGCCCACCTAGGAAATTCGGAATAAGCTCCTCCTCCTCTGAAGATCTTTAATGTAACACCTTTTGCCATGTTAGGTAATATTCACTCTTGCCATATTAAGTAAAATTCATGGATTCTAGGCATTAGGATGCAAACATATCTTTGGGGTCACCATTCAACTTACTACAAGAACATAATGATATTTATTTAAAAATTGCTATTAATAGCAAAAAATTAGAAATATTAATAGCATAAATGACCCACCACCAGATAATGGATAAAGTATGATTCATTCATCTGATAGAATGTTACATAGCAGTATAGAGTCAATTTCATCTATGTCTATCAATACACATGGATCTCAAAGACTTATAATAAAGCAAGTTGAAGAATGATATATACAATATGATATCATTTAGTTAACTTTTAAACTAAAACTTAAACTTTTAAACTTTTTTTAGTTAACTTTTAAACTTTTATCATTTACTTTACTTTAAACAGAAATATATATATTTAGTAGAAGTATAAAACATGAGCTGAACAGATATGTACAAATATATGACAGGTTAGAAACTGCAGATCATGAGTGGCATAGAAGGTGGGGAGAAGAACAAAGACGGTTTCATTGTAAGATATGTTTTCTTTTATAAAAGTATGTCAAGGAGAAATTCCAAAATGTATACAGTTCTTAATCCTGGGTAATGGATACTTGGGTGTTTGTAATTCTATGCACATTTAAAATTATTTTTAAAATATTTTATATCTTATTTTTTATATTAAAAAATGGAAAACATTTAATGGTTATCTTGAAAACACTACGAAGGATAAATTAGTACAGGCAGAAAATAGAGAGAAGGAGACCAGTGGAGACTGCTAAAAATAATAAATAGGTATGATGTATGAAGAACTGACCTAAGAGAGTGGCCATGACAACAGAGAGAAAAGGGTGATTATGAACAAAATTTATATGGTAGAATCTATGGGGCCCGGCCACTGTGTCAGTGGGAGTGGTGGGGGCAAGAAGGAGCCTTCAGGTGATGCCAAGTTACTGACTTGAGGAACAGGTCAAATAGTGGTTGTACTGTCAAAGGTAACTACAGAGTTGCTTTCTGTCACTATTGAATAGTTACCATTTTCTAGAATTGTATATAAATGGAAGTCAGTGTATACTCTTTCATTTTTTCTTTTTTCTTTTTTTTTCTTTTTTGGTCTTGTTTCTTCCTTTCAATGTATTTATTTTAATATTCGGCCCTGTTGTTTTGTATAGCAACAGTCCATTGCTTTTTATCACTGAATAGGATG